CCGGATTCAAGAAGCATACAAAATGCTTTGTGTATACAAAGAAAACACTCAAATAAATCTCAAAAAAGGTGGAATGATTAAGCTCACAAAGCTTCGAAAATGACTACCACTAGTCAAGAATTCCTTCTTTTTTATTTATTTATTTATTTATTTTTTGGTTTTAGATCTAGAATATTTCAAAATTTATTCTTGTTCTCTTAGACCTGAAATGGCAAAAGGTATTCCTAGGAAGATGCAACCACTTGCCTTTTCAATAAGTCTTTGTGTTGTCCAAGGGTCTCAAAGGTTGTTGCAATAAATCTCCATTTTATTCTTTATCTTTCCAATTTAAATCTCAAATAGTTTGCCTCGGAAAAAAAAAAGACTTGATTTGCTAAAATTACTCAATAAATTCGCTACTTGTTGAGCAGCCAAAACCCTTCTGGAATTTTTTGTTCCAACTCATAAAAATTGATTTGAACCACTTTCAAAAAAACTATGTGGGATTGATTTGAATCTAGAACTCTAATCAAGGAGGATAGGAGTTTGTTAAGCTCTAATTCTAATCATGGGGAAAGATTAGAACATTTTAATTAGCTTACCTGCACACTTAAAAATGAAATTCATCAAATACCAATAAATCATAGTTTTAACTCATCATCAAAATTCATCAACAAACCCAACATTTAGTTGTTCTTGTTAGAGAATGCCATACAAGTTAACTAGTTTAGCAAGACAATCTTTTATACTTATGACTACACTTATTATATTTATGGCATTCTTTATCGAAGATTAATTATTATTCTTCTGCATACATGAAATATCGATAAAGTCTTTATGATGTCTATTGCATCAAAAGGTAATAGCAATCTCCACTATTAGTTAGAATAATATGATGTGATAGCAACATTCTTAAATTGTCTAATAGTCATATACATCATTGAGATATTACATCAATGATATAAGGACTATCATATGTGATATTTTATTAGGTAGCAAGGCTTCTTTTCACATAGTCACATATCACATATGGGTGACTCAAAGTATGTGAGTACATTGGACTAATTTGCCATGAGATCTCTACATCTATGGATCATTAGTAGCTTTTTAGCTGTGACACAAGTGTAAGCAATTCTTTGACTTTACATTCTCATTATTCTATGTGAGGACATGTATCCTTTGATGCTATTAAAAATAGACACTTTGAGAGATTGCGAGTAATACAATTTTGGGTGCATCACGAATCGCATTAGAGTAATGGGTGCGTCAAGATAGGGTTTGTCCCTTTCGAGTTTATGAGGAAAGATATCTTTGGCCCTTTGATTGAGATAAGACTACTTGCAAAATCCATGGCCATGGCATGAATGAAGGCTCATTCAAGAAGTATGTTTATATTGGGAATCAAAGAAAGATATATTAAGCTTTATGGATAATAACACATAGCATGCATCTTACTTAGAGATATCAGTGACGAAGGGATTGAATTATACAACTACCAATCATAGGAAGGTTCTTCGAAGCTATCAATTTTTTGTCACATTAGGTGGCTATGATGTGTTGCTAGATATCGCTCTTGCTATATGAGTGTTTCACTACTGGAAAAGGCAAATTTTCAAGAAAAAGATAGAAAACGGTCTACTGATATATATTCAAACCAATATCAATCTAAAAAAAATGGACCAAAAAACCCAATCTAAAATAATTTTTATCCAGATCGACAACATACCGATCTAAATATTTATTTTTTCAGATTGATATTGGTCTGAATAATTAAGCAAAGGGCACCATATATCGATTAATATATTATATGGAATAATAAAATATTAGGTCAAACCAGACCAATATTGGTTTGAATAAATAGGGACTCAAGTGTAAAAAATGAAAAGTACCATCCTGATATTGAGGATTTTGTAAAGTGTTATTCAGACTGTTAACAGTTCAGATTATTGTGTACTAAATTGTTAAAATAGAAAGATGAGAAGTTTTATTGTGAAGCCTTTGATAGTTATTTCAGACCATTATCAGTCTGAATATAGGCCTTTGGTGCCAAAAAAAAAAATTCTATTTAGAAATTATATAATATAC